CTGACGTATATCATATACAGTTTAAACTATGCATGTTAGGTGAAGATAATTTGAATTACCATGGGATGGCTCAGAAGACAAAAGTCTAGTAACATATGTAGTTACATAATTCAAAGAATCCAAATCATCTTGCATACCCTCAGAAACTTTAGCGTAGACATCAAACCCTGATTCACCATAGAGATTATAAATACAATATTATTAGTTTGCAGTTCTAGTAATATTTTAGAGATATCAAGAAAATTTTGAAAATTTAAGCAAACTAATATTCTTACATGCAGTGGTTCGCGTTCCACCCAAGGAAGTAACAGGACGTACAGGAGCAGTCGGACAAATCCATTTTATCTATGCCAAATCACATAGTTTGTTTAAAAACTTCAATTAAGTTTCCATTTTGGCTATAAAGGAGTTATATTCATGGCAAAAAAAAAAAATATTTTAATGGATTTATACATTGGGATTTCTAAAACTTCTCACAGCCTTCTCTGAGCTGCAGACATAATAAACAAATATGTAATGAGAAGCACACTTCTGATACAAAAAGGAATAATAGTTAATGCATATAACAGTGTTCTTTTTGGATAAATCTTCCACAGTATGTTTGTAACTAAGTATCTTTGATTTATATATATGACAAATACAAAATAAAGCATGTGAGAGTTTTACTCGGAGCCGGTGCGCCTAATATCATGGAACCATACTATAGTTGCTTTATGAACTCCTGTGGGATTAATAACGTAATTTCGTCCAAAGTCTAAGCCATAATATAGATAAATTTGTTATTAGTTACAAATTCAGTAATCAGTTCCATGCAGAGAAATGTAGTTAAACAATATCGATAATATGGAGAAAAACAAAAATAAACAAACAAACCAGAAGCCATGCTTTGATAAAATTTTGTTTCTAAATTATTTTGAAATTTTTTCATTTCCACTAGAGATGGAAAATATTGGAGAAAGCAAGGGAATAAATTGTAAATTTATACAAAAAATGAGTGTGTATTTTCTTTATTAACCAACAAAGGAGCTTTTTGAAAAGAAAATCTGACTATTAAAAGCTGACAAAAAAGTATTTAATATTAAACTGACAAAAATCATATGATTTTAAATTAGATCATAACAAATAAATTAATTAAAAAAACTTTTTAATAACACGTATTTAATTATTTCCCGAAATGAAAAGCGCAACAAAGAAAAAGTTAACGTAATTGGGTGGAACAATCCATAGATGTTTTTAGCGACAACAAAAAACAATCCATAGTATTAATCTACTAAGTAAAGAAAAAC